CTTACATCACCCATTCATGACATCATTATACAAGCGGGGCGCCTCGTCAACAGAACCGAGCACCCCGTCTACCAAACGTTTATTTATTTTTAATCTTCACTGATAAAAAAAATATAGAATGTTTAAAAAAAAAAAAACTTTTCCACCCTCCATACCGGTCCATCAATCTACCAGGGCTCAGAGTCCGGCATTTGTGAGCACGCGAGGCCGGGGTCTGGGCCCTGGCCTTTGTGAGCACGTGAAGCTGGGACCCCGGCCTCGCGTGCTTCAACGGGTCGGCAGCTCTTATGATCCTCCACGGTGACTAGCTCGCTCTGAATTTTGTCATCGGCCATCAAGCACAAAAAACGCCTGGACTTCAGCATTAGACTACGGAGTTGTCATTATTGTTTTTAAAGTATTAAAAATCAGTCCAGCCGCTGTTCCGAGTAATTGCCAATGGCAGATCGGTGAAAAGTTTTCTGAATGATCCAGTGACTCCTCCCCCTGACCAATCAGTGACCAACGGTGTTCTGACGTCACATTTTTATGCCGGCTCGGCTCGCTTGGACCCCTTGAGAAGAAGTGACAAAAAAAGGGGGCGAAACTGGTACAAAGTACTAGTGGAAAGCGCTTAAAGCTGTGGTCAACTGAGCATATGGTGGAAAAGGGGCATTAGTTCAGCCCACCAATGGGTTCATTTTGAACTAAAACTACATTTTAAACCATAAAATAAACTTGCTCTTGGCTTTCTGTAACTGTGGCCTCCTGATCAATTTAGCTGAATAGCCCTGCTGTACAGCATGGCTCAAACATGCAGTAAACTGATCTCCAGACTGACATGGCTTTCTATATTGATTAAAAACAATTACACACATTAAAACAACATGTAGCATATCACCTCCTGGAACTGTGAAAATGATTACAGCCCTTTATCCCACTTTCTGTAGGACTTTGAAACACGAGTAATTAATTATTACTGCCCTCTGCTGGCAGATCGCAGAAAGTGCAGCTGTTGTGTGGAAGTTTATAAATCTGTAATGTTTTGGTTTTAGAAGATTTCAATAAATAAAATTTATTGGAATGAAGCTACTTTAATATGTTTATTTGTCTGTGAGAATGGGAAGTTGATTTAATGAACAAGAAACGCAGAAGAAGTGAACATTATTACAAGTTCATCATAAAACTACATTTTGTATAATTTTTTAAGTGTTAGGAGTTTGAGTTGCTGATTTTATAGGTTTTTATTAGGGATGGGGCCGATCCGATCCAGTATCGGTATCGGGCTCTGATAGCAGCATAATTTACGTATCGGATTGTTCCGATCCAACCTGCCAATATTTCCGATCCATGATGCTTGTCTGTGGTTGTGATGCACGTTGGCTTCAAACTATGGAATGGATTTCCTGAACGGCGGCGTGTCTCATGAACCCAGAGTAATAAGACCCGCCTCACATTCAGGAAATCCAGTTCATAGTTTGCAGCCAGCTACAACGTGAGGACTGAGTTAGCAGCACTGTAGCTAACAGCTAACAAACTTTTCATCTAAACATGTCCGCTGTGTGGAAGTATTTTACACTAGAAACACCACAAAACAAGACGGCAACGTGCAATGTCTACAGAGCCACAGCACCACATTAAACTGTGTTAAAGTTAGTTTTACGTTGGACATTCGAGCTCCGTGGCTTCAGCGGGGCGCTGCTCTTTGCTCAACCCAAAACAGCATCTCGACCCCGGCCAGCCGCGTCCAATCTGCCCCGCTCAGTCTGCCCATCTCTGAGGAGGGACAGACTGAGCGCGGCTGCCCCAAATCAGGCTGTCTGCTTCGGACTGAACAAGAAGAAGAGATCGCTGAAACCACGGAACTCAAATGTTTACAGAGAAGTTGCTAAACTTCATCATAATTAATGACCAACCACTATCACTTGTAGAAAACGAAGGATTTCTCAGATTGATACTTGCAGCCAAGATATAGTTTACCCTGCATGAGATATTTATCAGTACAACAGTAGACGATCATAAAAAAAAAAACATATGATTTGAAAATTATATAAAAAAACAAAAACAAAACAAAAACAGCTACATTATAAAGTGATGTAAAATAATAAAAACAGGAACATGTTTGTTGGTTTATGCCACGAACTTAGCAGATGTTTGAAGCCATTTAACATTTTATTTAATTTAATTCATTTATTAATTCATTTAAAAGAAACTAAATAAAAACAAATCATCAAAAAGAAAACAGTGAATGAAAAGAGTTCAGAAAGAAGAAAAATAATCTTATATCTGCCCCTTATTTAAAAAAATATAAAATAATTTAAACAATCACTTAAATTAATCACTTTAATATCCACTTTAAAGCTATGAATAAAAAGAAACATGTTTTGTGTTAGAATTTAAGTCTAACTTTAAAACTTATCCAACATTAATAAAACTGACCTCAAGTTGCCTTTTTGGACATGCATGCATATATTTGTACAAACTGTACTTGAGAGGAGATTATTACAGCCTCATATAAAATCAACGATGATGATATCGGAGCTGGATCGGTATCGGATCGGAAGTTAAAAAAAAAAAAAAAAAAGAAGTGGATCGGTGCATCCCTAGTTTTTATATTAATGACATTATTTCATTTAAAGTTTTTGCAACAGACTGTTTAACTGTGAGACATTTTACGGAGCGTGTGCGAGAGCAGGTTTTACCAGGTGTGTAGGAGTAGAGGCGTCTCTGACAGCTGCTCTTCCTGGTACATCCAGCAGAGGCCATTGAAACGGCAGGTACTGAGGAGAGAAGTGATGGTTAATACCACGCACACGTTTCAGACAACAGCAGTCATTTTTGTTGTTTATTATACCAGTCACATAGTGTCATAATAAGACCTGCAGATACCATTAAATAAAGCAACACAGTTGTGATTGTCATCACATGTTGCTGCACGTAGCACTTCACTTTTGTTTAAAAAAAACAAAAAAAAAACACTTTTGTACTACTTGAGCCAAGTTTACTTGAAGTTTTCTTCAAACACAACCCCTTTACTAATGACAACCCACATTTACGTTCACATTCAAATCGTAAAATCCTTTGTGCCCCAAAAAATGAAATAGACAGCGACTCAGCGAGCGTTAAAAATGTACAAAATTATCTTTGAAAAAGGCACACATTTTATTATTTTTGTCATATTACTGTATTTAGTCTTTTTAAGATTTAAAATGTACTGCTACTGAATGATAAACGAATAATGTCTATAAATATTTAAGATGTTTTTGTGATTAATTTAATTGTACATATCCTGAAAAACTACATTTTTCTAATAAATAAAAAAAAAAAAAAACAAGTTTGACCAAGATTAATTTCTCAAATGATTGGGTACAAAACAATTTACCTGAAGTGATTACAATGCTTAAAGCTTGACTTTGTCCTAATCACCTTTTTATGTTCTTGTTTACAGTCTATATTTCTACAAAATGTGGGTTTTCTTTTTTAACACTCGCACCAAAGACATGTTTGGAGCTTTAAATGGCCAGTATCAGCAGGAGGAAATACTTGTATTGTAGAGGCTGAGATGAGATAGTGCTTTATCTCCCACATGTTTACATTCTCTCAGACCAAAAAGGACAAGTTGCACTCCCACAACACACACACTCATGAACAAGGAGGCAAACAGTCGACTTCCACAGGAGGAAGACGGTTGTAGATAAGATGTTTGTGCTGATGTGATGAACATTAGATGGTTGTTTGTTGTCTCAGACGCTGGGTCTTCAGGGTGGAGCTGGACAAAGAACAGAGTCCACTCCACACACTTCCACACACCAGCAGCGCCTCAAATCACCACGCCCCACTACTGACCGAGTCGTCTGAAAATGGGGAACACCCTCCCTCCTATTCTGTCAAACACGCAGAACCCCACAAATGAAAGGGTCTTTGGTGCTCGTTCAGCTGTGAGTGACGCCTACAGACTCTTAACTGTGACCTCTGACCCCAAACGAGAGGAGAACCCAAAGTAGGCAGAGCAGCAGGAGCTGTGAAATCTCGTCCAGACCACAATCAGACGTTTTTCAAGCGCTGCCTTTTCAAACCGGACATTTTCTTTTGTTAGATGGAACTTTCAAACTAAAAGTTTTAACAACCAAACAATTTATTTCAAAAATCTTATTTAAAAATAGGGTACTCATTCAAACCCTATGATTTCCTTTGAATACGACAAAACAATGGGATGTAGACATGATTTTTTTTTTATATATATATAAAAAGGAGAATTTACCAATTGGACTAGAAACTGAATTTGATCCAACTTTTGTTGTTCAGAGACCACACAACAAAAAAATAATAAATCACCACCATCTCAATAAACGGGGAAACAGTGGTAATGCTTTTTCCCCCCCCCAACTATGATTAATCTTATCTCTGAATCTACCTCAGACAAACATCCAAACACAGACACACAGAACACTTCCCCCACCTGCTGCAGAAACACCCGGACGTCTGCCCGGCCTACACAGTCTGAAACAAAAAATTCACACACAGTCGGTTCACAAAGCAGCCTGTATCCTGCCCCCATTCAGAGGCCCGAGGAAGCTCTGGCTGCGCGTTAACTAGATCCAGCTGTTTCAAATACCAGGACAGTGTGGACTCACACACAGACTCCATTACTGAGGGAAGTTGAAACTCACTGCCGGAGCACAGGGGAAACTTATTAGGTTTACTGCTGTTTACAAAACATTACAGAGCACACACACATAAGGGTTTTATGAAGAAAAAAAAAGAAACTTTTAAAGTTTACATGCTTTAAGGCTGCAGTCATTAAAACACAACCTTCAATCACTTTAGTTTTATATATTTAAATTTTAAATCGTTTTGAATAAAGCCACCAATTAAGTACAGCTGTCTAGATTTAGATAGTGTGAAACATAAAAAGCGCACTTAGTATTTAATGAACTTACAGAGAAGCATAAACGGTGTGTGAAATGTGCAAATATAAGATGTTTTAAAACAGTCTGACTAATGAGTCGAGAATAAAACATGCTGCAGGTAAATTTATCCTCCGGCTCAAATTAATAAATACAACTGCTTACTCCTGTTTACTTGACTGAAATCAAGATGTCAATAGTTTTTGCATCGTGCTGCATACATCCAGCCATCATCGATATCTGCTTCTTCCTTTCTGGGTTGTGGACGTCACCCATGCCCTTATTCCAGCCGTCCCTGTGCGAGAGGAGGGGGACACCCTGGACAGGTCACAAGTCCATCACAGCAATGTCCCCCTGGTGCCGAGGGGTTTGACTAGGGAATGTTTGTAGTCTTTGAGAGGAGTGTTTTCTGGACTGGAACTGAACAGAGAAGGTAAGTGAACCCTGGTTGGTGGAGCTGTGGGTAAAGGTCATTTTGGTAGGCAGGCGCTTGCTTCTGTCGACAGGGCGGGGTGCCCTGCTTGGATAACGATAAGAGAAACACTGCATTAAAAAAAAAAAAAATTCATGTCCGAGGCAGTTCAGAGTGACGAATCCTGGTGGGTGGAAGGAGCACCATTAGGCATAATAGAGCGAGGGGGTGGCCAATGGTGGCCACCACAGAATAATCTTCGGCCACCTCAGTCATTTGAGAAAAATCGTACTTTTAAGCAAAATAAAACTAGAAAGAATAGTTTCCTCAGATGATGGGGCAGATGTTATATATATTTGATGGTGGCCATCTCTATGACGTGGTAGTCCAAGTTTCGATAAGGACCTTTCTTATAACTAGATGCAGCCATAAGCCAAAAAGGAAGTCAGTAGCTCATTTATTTTTCCAAGTTATCCAGCTCCCAAGACAGACAGTCATTTCCAATTACTCTCTTTGCTTCGCAACAGAGTACAGGACAAACAACCATTCACTCTCTCACATAAATATGGACAATTTAGAGTTACCGATCAGTCTAACATGCAGGTTTTTGTGTGTGGGAGGAAACCGGAGTGCCTGGAGAAACCTCACTGGGACATCAATCTCCACACAGAAAGGTGTCAGACCAGGATTTGATCTGCCAACCTTCTTGCTGAAAAGCAACAGATCTACCAACTGCGCCATCGTGCTGCCAGCCCATGCAGCAACAGCTTGGGAATATATCTGGCTCAATAAAAGCATACAACAAAGCACAGTTTGATGTTGTGCACGAGTGGTCTATGAAAAAATAACAATTTGAATAAAAAATAAAAACTCCCATGTTGGCCCATCGAGCTACACATGCAATTTTCACTGACAAACAAGGCATCGTTTTCAGCTGCCTGGCCTGGAGAGTCCAGTGGACTCCGAACTGAAATTTATTATTATTATTTTTATTGTTTAAAAAAAAAAATCCTTTAGAGCATATTAACTGGGGGAAATCCATCATAATGTTCAAAGGACCTTCTGAGGGTCAAGCAACTGCTTCATGTCTGTCTCAGAAAGAATAACAAAAAAAGTGAGGTATGGATTTTAGAGATGACACTTGTGTAACAAGATCAACTGAGGGACAAGTCAGCAACTGTTTTATAGATCTATTTGTTTAGTCCCAAACTATGTGCAGCTACTTGAATTTATACTCCGATTCAACACAAACAAACTGAAGAGAGATATCTCTTTTCATGTGTTGTCATGTTTCAGCAGCTTTGTTTTATTGTTCATTATGCTTCTATTTTAGTTGTACGTACATACAATATATGTCTAGTATTTCAAGACGTTAGAAACTGTGTCCGTCAACATTCTGGGACACAGTCAGCCAAAGGGAATGACTTTAAACAAAAACTACAGCATGTATACAGACACACAAGCACATGACTGTTAGCACAGTCAGCTCTGTCAAAGTAAACAGAAAGAGAAGGTTTAAAATAAAGCTATGATCACAAACACTACGAACTTTTATCCCATGTCTTGAAGTCCCAATTACTTTGTTAATGAAAAACACCTAATTATTCAGACAATGACATAATGCTAAAACTTTTAAAAGAAAAATGGGTAATGCATTTTCCTAAACCAAGTCTCAAAAGCATTTAGCACGTAATATTTTAAAGGAAACCAGCACCAAATTAATAAATGTTGTTTAAACATCAAAAGCTTTTAAGCATTGACTAATGAACATACACTGCTTGTGTATTTGTGGAGAATGACCTCATTATTGTTTCCTGTTAGCGTTTATTATGTTAGTTTTTTTATTTATTTGCTATATTGAATATACGTTGCATTCCTTTTACTTCAGAAGAACTTGGACCTGGGAATAGTGTTATGTTCAACTTTACCCTGTTCTAGTCGAAAATTGGAATAAATATAATTTGTTAATACAAACGAGTCAAGTATTTCTCTGTCATTTTTGCATTTAAAAACTGTAGCAACATGTTTTCTGATAGTAGCTAGACATTTGTGTATGTGTTTAGCGTTCGTTTCGCATATATGTTAGTGTACACTTTAGATCCTTATACAGTTTCTTTTTGTACTTTATATTTTTGCTATTTTTGGATGTAATAACTGGGACCTTGAGGACATAATATCATTCCACCTCATGTACCACGTGACGCGAATGACAATAAAATACTTGAACTTGTATGACTGAAACACAAACTGACAGAAGTTAATCTAAAGTGGATTACTGAAGCTGGTAACTTAACTGGCAATGGTCCACTTGCGTGGGTTGTCGTGACGTCTTTCTGCTTTAAACAGCTGCTACACTTTACCAGGAGCTTCTCATTTAAATACTAGGGTGTCAAAATTGCGGTAGACCCTCCTCTTTTGAGTGACACCTCATTTGACTCATCATCTGAGTCGATCTAAGGTC